GAAAGCAGTATATGAATAAAATAGATAAAAATGCTGTGAAAGAAACAAAAAATAAGTTAACATATAGTATAACACGAGAGGCCTATTTTAGATAGGATAGCTGGAGAGGGCTATGCAGTGAGTATATTTAAGGTGAAAGTCTAAACATTGTATAGAGAACATATACCAAGATCTTGAGATAGGATGGGAGGAGCTAGCTTAGAACTGAGATAAGATCAGGGTGAAGCTAAGATAGGGGGAGGGAGAGAAGAGTGGAGAGGTAGATATGCAGATCTTTACTGATTGTAGTGTAAGGTATTTTAAGTGCAGTGAGAAACTAGCACTGGACTGTAAAAAAGGTATTACATTTGAGTAGAGCATGGTTAGGGGATGTAGATATGGCTGTCAGTTAAGAGGCTGCTGTACTAGCCTGGGAGAGATCACTGGTGGCTTGGACCAGTGTGGTAGCAGTTGAAAGGGAGAGCAGTAGACTGATTCCATACGTATTTTGGGGGTAAAATGAAAAGAGCTTATTGAAAGGTTGGCCGGCCCTGTGACTAGGGTGAGGAAGGAGGAAGAGTCATTTATGCCATCAAGATTTTGGAGGTGACCAACAAGACGGAGATTAAAGCTTACTGAAGACTTGAGGACTATAGAAGGCTTTTGGGGGACGGTATCTCTTGGGCTTAAGTTTGAAACTCAAGGTGAGAAGTCAGGTAGTCATTTGGCTATATGGGTCTTTTATTCAGAGAAGAAGCTTGAGTTGGAGATAATAATATGGGGGGCATCAGTACGAAAAATGAAATTTAAACCATGGAGTGGATGAGAAGAGCTAACTTTGAGGGCCTCCATCATTTAGATATTGGGGAGAGAAGGAGATTGATAAGCAGTTGGCTTATCAATAGTGATTGAAGAAAACGTTTCTGGGGGAAGGAGTGCCAAATGCTCCTTGAAGTGATGAATAAGGTGAGAACAGTTTGCTCATCAGGTCTGGCAGCATGGAAGCTTTTGGGTATTTTCCAAGGGGAGTTTTGGTGAAGTGGTAGGCAGATGAGCCAATGGAAATTCATAAGGAAGGGAAATAATAATTGTAGACTGTTGATAATCCTTGTATGTCCATGAAGGGGGTGTGGCTCTGGAAAGGAATATGGAGCTAAGGGAACCACCTGAGTTTGATTTATTTATTTTTTTTAAAGATAGGATAACATGTTAAGTTGAACCATAAGACACTGGTGACATTTGACTACTTTTTGACTTACCAGAATGGCAATTTCATATAGATCGACCTAATCGAACATGTTATGTTATATTACTGAGAACGAGTTGTCTTTAAAAGTGGAGTTTGATGAAGCATTGTTGAGAGAGTTTAACCACAAGAATATAGCCTTTGAGCAGTTGAGAGAGATGGGTTGGAGCTCACCAGCTGTGTTTGCCTTTGAAGTAAGGGAAGGGAAAGGCATGCATTTTTTTTTTTTCAATTGTAACAGGAAGGAAGAAGGTGTGCAGATTCAGCATGCTTCAGCGATCACGGTGATGCTAGTCTCAGCGACTAGTGTCTTACCTGTAGCAAATAATTACATAATAAGTTTTCAGATTTAGCTGTAGATGCACATTGATTTTGTTCATAGGGCAGATCCCATTTTGCCTTGTAGCAAGCAGGCTCTGAATTTTCTCTGTTAAAGATCTTTGATATCAGTGATTTTTCACTGTTTTCCTCTTTCACCAAAAGCAGAGTATATCAAATGTCATGACCTCCTTCTCCACTCCTCACCAGTACAACACCGAGGCCTCCTTGTAGAACTGATTAGCAAATCAAAGAAATTAAAGTGGTTTTCTCATGTGATTTTCTTGCCTACAGAAAATTGTCTTTTTAAATATTGCTATCAGTATTCTTTGACTTGTCAGCTTAATTGAAACATTATCTATGATTTCTGTTACTTTAATGTAGACTACGAGTGCATCTTTTTAAGGTCATATCACTGTCATGTGTATAGAATTTGCGTATTTCAAAAAATTTCAGCTGTTTGGAGGGAGACTTTATTCCACTGTATAATATAGTTTCAAAAATAATTTTCATTAGACCATTATGCTGACATATCTCTAGGCCACAATTTTCTCAATGGACTTCATTCAGTATAGAATTCTAGGTACTGATCATTAATTGTATCTTTAAAGCAACAATGAGATTGAAATCATTTTTAGTGCCTGCAGGATCCTTTTTCATGAAACATCCATCTCTTATAATGTTTATTTTGAATAATATTCTCCTCATGGGTTATGGGATATAGTTAAGACTATTCCATAAAGAGCCTTCTTCTTTCTCAGTGTGTGTTTATTGAGCTATAGGCAGCTTTTCCCTGTGCATGGCTCCAAAATTATCTTTTCCTGAAAGTAAAGGAAGATCTGGAGAAATTCGGCACCCATGTATTAATTTATACACTATGTGACATCATTAAAAGCTCGAGGATGGTGGTACTTATATTTTTTAGCTTTTCCAGCACATCTTTTTATTTTCATTGGAATTAATGTCTTCTTTCCCCTTAACTTAAAAAAGTATTTATTTTAACTATAATTGACAAATAATATTTTGTTAGTTTCAGATGTACAACATAGTGATTCAACATTTATATACCTTACGAATTGATCACCACAGTAAGTCTAAAAAACATTTGTTACCATACATAATTATTATAGTATTATTGGGTGGTATTTTAGAATAAGCTAAGGTTTTATTTTTTGGAGGTGTGTAGCTTTACTATAGGCAAGATGAGTCAACATGTTCTAATTCTGCTTGGAATCAGAGGAACTTGATTTACTGTTGTTGCCTGCTGTGGTAGAAATTGCAAGCATCACTGAAGCCGACATGTATCTTCAGTATTGGAAATATTCAACAGGAATTCATCAGAAATGATTTCAAAAACCTGCAGTCTACAGTGTTGTGATAAATGACTGAAGAAAAGTTTTCCCCTTATTTCAGGCAGCCTTTGATAGCATGTCTGTTTAGGAAAATATATACAGATTAATCAACTGTGTACCTGGCTCTCAAATATTTTTAGCTTCTTTGGATGAACTTTGAGTTATGTCAGGGGTCCCCTTGGCCTTTCCACTCAGAACCACTCAACCAACATCGATGTGTGCTTATAAAAAAAAAAAAGGTTTGTAGTATAATACTGCTCAGCAGCTTTGCTGACCTGGAATTGGCATGGTTTGACTAGCTTCTTTTTGCACCTTAAACCTAGTGTTGTACTGATCCATCCTTTGCTTTGCCATTTCTAGTTGTGAACTGGATCCATACTCTCTCTTCTACTCTTCGCGAGGGGAAACGAGGCTTATCTTCCAGGAAGAGTTCTGTGCTAAAACCTTGCACTTCCTACTTCTGTATACGCTGATGCACAGGCTTCAGAGTTCTACCTTGTGGGGACTTGCCACCCCACCTAGAGGTGACAGTTACCTTAAAAGACTGCAGTTTTGACGTGTAGGGGGCTATTTCTGTTTCTAATAAGTAGAGAGGCCTGTGAAAGCATCTTTGAGATCTGAGGAGGTATATGGCCATCTTGTGCTCCTTGTCTCTGGGATGTCAGAGCTTTGGGTATTCATCCTGTGTCATCTCTCCCACTACCTCCCAAGATAATTTGCTGCTGATTTGCTTTAATTTTGGCTGTGTTTTTACTTATTCCAAAATATCTTCCCTAGTCCCTTCAGACTTCTGTCAGTGTGCTGAAATGGCTTTCTCTTGGTAGATAGCAGACTGTTGCTTCCTCCTCTTCCCTCGTTGAACTGGCCAATAACCCGGGAATAGAATCCTTGTTTCTCTCAGCCTCCCCATTACAAAATCAACAACTGTTCGTAACAGACTAAAGAAGAATATAAATGCCCGTTTACCATCTTGATTATGGGCTTCCATATGTATTATTTTTCAGAAGGCGATCATGTCATACATACTATTTTTATCCATGCATATTATGTTAAGACTACTTTTTCTCAAATGCATTTCCTTGAAATACTTTTCCATATATTTTTATTTTTAAAAAATATATATTTTTAAATTTTCAGTGACTGAAAACTGTTTAGTAATGTTTAATATACCATTTGAGCAGTCTTTTACTTTGGGACGTTTAGCTATTTGTAGTTACAATGTCACCTTGTGTGTTCAGACAGGGACTCATATCTTATGCATATCTATCTTCCCAGCATGTAGCATTATACCTAGCACAGTGGGTGTTCACTAAAGAATTATAGTTGAGTTCCAGAAATATGAGGGCCATTTGATAAATTTATAACTATCTACTTTGTATTTGGAACCCTGGGTGTAGGAATGGACAAGATGGAGGTGGTCCTTGCCCTTATAAGCTGAGGTGTTATTCTATATAGCAAGGTTTATATTACAGAGACAGCAGCCCTCTTAATATGAAGATCAATTAAAAAACCTAAAAGTCACACCATATAGTAGAAGCAGTCAAAATAACTTAGCAGTGTGGTTATTTGGAAGAAGTTCATGCCAGTCTTTTTCAAGTATTTGGCTAATTAACAATTGACTAATTGATTTCTCTACAGATGGCAGTTCTTATGATTGTCCACTAATGTTACAGATTGAGATGAAATGATTGTTTTCAGGTTCAAACTTTTTGACCCTTACGAATAACTGGAATCAGGTATACTTAAATTTAAGATTTCACATCGGAATGTAATATATTGTTGTATTTAGTGATGTTAGAGACCCAAAGATCTTTTAGGGCTGAGTTTGGGGGTAATAGGAAATATATCCCCAAATATTTTTGGTCTTTCTGTTGCATATTTTAAAATATGATTAAACAAAGATTGCAGCCATGAAGAAGATTTTCTGCTGTAAATTGGTCTTTCAACCCTGCCAGCTGTTCATGTTTTCTGTGATCCCACTTATAAAAGTGGAAAGTGAAGGGTGAGTGGCTGTACTCTTGGGCAGGCACATAATTAAAAAAGTGTGTGCCTCAGCAGAGCTATATAAGAGTTTCATATAGCTGCCTTTTTCTTTTTTATTGTAGGGCCAGCTCTCAATGTTGCAAGAAAAAATAGACCATTTGGAGCATTTGCTGGCTGAGAATAATGAGATCATCTCAAATATTAGAGATTCTGTCATCAATTTGAGTGAGTCTGTGGAGGATGGGCTGAAAAGTTCACAAGGCAATTTTAGCCAGGGTGCTGGCTCACCTCTTCTGTCATCAAAACAATTGTCCCTCACAGACAATCCTGCAGACTGTCTGTTTGCATCACAAAGTGGAAGTCAGAATTCAGATGTGCAGGTAATGTATACGTTTGTTAATAATCACTGGGCTTTGTTTTTGTTTTTATAGATTTGATTTGGTATCTATTCTTATAAAGTGATTTGAATAGTCACAAGATCATTAATGTTCTTGTTTAGTGATAAAATTCCATAATTCTGTGTTTCTCCTAATTTTTCCTATTTTACATTTTGTGAATGTGGCCTTTTTGTATGCTTTTTAGGTCTTAATTTCTGTAATAGTAGAAGACCTTTCAAGGTTTAAATTTAGCTGAAGAGATTTTCCTACCTTCCTTTGGAGAGTACAAGAAAAACCCTCCTCTTACTATATCACTGTTATACATTAGAGGTTTCACACAGTGTAGAATTAGATTCTTTTTGCCCATTATCTCTTTGTGAAAGGGAAAGGACATATTCTAGACCTCTGCTTTCCAGTATGGAAGCTACTGTCCACATGTGGCTACTAAGTACCTGGAATGTGGCTAGTTTGCTTTGAAATGTACTCTAATATTCACACAAAGTGTTGCAGTTTAGTATGAAAAAAGAATGTAAAATATCTTGTTTATTTTTATATTGGTTACACATTGATATGGTAATGTTTTGAATATATTGGGCTAAATCACATAGAGCATTAAAAGTAATTTTGCCTATTTTGTTTCACTGCAGAATTTAAAATCACATATTTGGCTTGTATTATATTTCTCTTGGATCACGTTATTCTAGAGGGTAGTAGAGTTGAAGACTAGGGTAAGAAAGGATTTCTGCCTTTCTTAAACTTAGGATGTGTCATTCATATTTTTATGTTCTACAAATTAGCAGAGAGCTATGCTTAACCTCATACCTTAGACCAGAAACTGGAACTTGGTGACAAGACCCTAAGTGGTGCATATCTTAAAGTTGTACAAAGTGAGTTGGCTCTGGTCTTGCTTCAGAGTAGAAGTTTTCACTAATTCCTGGGACAGAACATAATATGATCGCGAGACCATGGCTCACAGGCCAAACAGGAAGCTGGGGACAATGGAGCTGTCCAGGCCTTCGCCTGCAACCTCATCAGCTAGTGTGCAGCCAGGTTCAGATAGGATCAGGATCCTGTGCTTCGAAGGGATATTTATTTCTGCCAGGCTTGGCTTTTAATTAAGTACCTCTTAAAGGGAAACTAAACTTTGGCGCGGGGTGGGGGGGTGTTAAATCTGGGATGGACAGAAAGGAGATGCAGAGCAACTATGAAAGGCAGGCAGAGGAAAGCAGCAGGGACTGGGAGATCCGCAGGACCAAAGAAAGAACTGAAAGGAATAGTAGAGACTGCTAACACATCTTCCTGTCCAGCTGGTTCCCAAAGATTTGCTGACTTACCCTGGGAGCGTTTTATTTATTAAAGTCATGAATTTCAAAGTGAGCGATACGTTATACAAAATACTTTGTATTCACTTTTATGTAATTTGCTTGATATCTTTAAAAAAACTTTTGTAACCCATTTATTAAATAAGATATAATTTTTACATAATTTAAATTTTACCAAAGGGTGGTTGTGTTCTTTGTCACATTTAGTATTATAGAGAGTATGGTGAGTAAAAGTTTGTAGGGTTTTTTTGGGAGGGCAGAATTTTTTTCCTTTGCTTCAAATAAATTATCATGTAGAAGGAATATTGCATTGGAAACTTAGAAAACATTTAAACACTTCAAAGCTAAATCTCAGTTTAATCTAGTTGACCGTGTTGTAGTTTTATTTTTCTAATAAAAACAGTAAACATTACGTGTCGAATGAGAGAATTGCTATAGATGCATTTTCATAATATAGATGCATAAAATAAGGACGACTCAAAGCAAAAAATAATTTTCAGTACTGAAAATGCTAAATATTTGATCATAATCAAATTTTTTGTTTGCTCTTCAGTTCTTATCAATTTCTATTAAATTGTATTGGTAAGTAAAGCAGAGGAAGAGGAATTGAAATTATTTTTTATTAGAAACAGATGTGAGAGGAGATTATTTTTCAAGATAATTATGTAATACAGGTAGCATTTTAAGCCTTTCAGTGGTGATTAAATGTTTTCTTCCTTAGTCTCTTCAGTTAATGTCTACAGAAATAGTTTTATCTTGTAAAATATATACTCAGAGTACAACAATTAGTTTTAAGCAAATATTTTTCAACATGAAGTTTAAATCAATAATGGTTATACATGGTTAAATTTGCTTTTTTTGTTGTTTGTTTCTTTATATTTTTAGATGTTGGATGTTTACAATCTAATTCCTTTTGACAATCCAGATGGTGGAGTTTGGAAACAAGGATTTGACATTACCTATCTATCTAACGAATGGGACACTAAGCCCCTTCAAGTCTTTGTGGTACCTCATTCCCATAATGACCCAGGTAAAATTTGCACTTCAAAAAACTAGAAGTTATTAAGCCCCTGTAGGCACAGAATATTTTAATGAGAATCTGGTAGAACCTGCTTCTCAAATTTTTGAGGCATAGTCTCTGACTTTCAACACTATCATATTCCTTTTATATGTCATTATATTTTTGAGTTCTCATTTTATCAATTTATTTGCCTTTTAAGGATAGTACTTGTGCAGTATGAAATAGTAACAAACACAGAAAGGTCTTAGCTTTGGGGGGATAAAAAGTTGCATACATTTAAGGTACTGATCATTTGTTTTAGTTACTTAGTTAAAATACTATGTGGGAGAATTATTTTGTGTCCATAAACTCTACATTAAAAAAGGCAGAGTGATCATGGGAAAGTTTGCATCTTTAAAATGGAGAAACAGCATTAAGTGGTTAAGAGCCTTGGTGTCAGACAGACACGAGTGAATCCCAACCCCATCATGTCTAAGATATTAGACAACTTTAGGCAAGTTACTTAATCTGAGAGGAAGTGTTTTCCCAGGTTGGATCAGGATAAACTACTTCATTGGGTGAGACGTAAACACATGGTGAATGGCCTCAAAGTAACTGCTGTCATTATCATTATCATGATTGTTATCTCAAATTATGACTTTTATTTTTTATTGGGGCCAGACATTTTTACCCAAGGTAAGTAGAAATTGCTAAAATTGTAATGAGGAATATGATTCAATGTGTATACGTTTTAGTGTGAATACACAGGCACAGAATAAATGCCCAGTGAATTTAGTCGCAGGATCTTTTTTGGAGGGGTAGGGTGGAGGGTAGGTAGGAATGTACTTACAAAGCCTCTTTTGAAGGAATTACTAATACTTATATTTGTTATTTTTCCCAATTTCTCAATTTTATTATTACTGTCACATACTGCTATTCACTTAGTACTTTGGACGTTTTTTTCTTTACTCCCAACATTTATATCCTACTTATATTCTTTTCCATTAGTTTATTTTATTATCATGTATTCCTTTCTCTAAGACAAGTTAGTGCCTGGACACATGATTTGGTGAAGTTGTGTGTTTGTGTGTGTGCTGCATGCCTCTTTGGGGTGTGAGAGGTAGTGAAGGAGATAGAGCTTGGATGTTCAAATGTTTGCATTTCCAGAATACTTCAGTGTTTAGTAAGCACAGAGGTATAAAATACATGAAATCAATATTGTTTTGGAAATTTGTGATGAGCAGTTACCATATGTCAGCTTTTGACTTGGTTTCTCTGTCTTTGGTCTTAATGCCTTTATCTTTTTCTGCAAATACCCATCAGTTTTATTAATTTTTTCTCTTATATGTTTTGCATCATCCTCCCCCTTAATCTTAGCTTCTCCCTTCAAATCCTAAGTCAGGGATGGCTGGGCGTTGTGGAAAGACTACGGAACTTTGGAGCCAGGCAGAATGAGGCAGGCATCCTGGTTCTACTGCATACTGGTCCTGTGTCCTCAGGCATGTTTATTTGTGTATCTGTAAAATGGAGATCATATAGGTGGAGTAGCATCTTAAGCAGGAGGTAGTTATCAAGTAAGTATAAAAGATGATGAAAATCACATCTAATCAAAATAGCACCAGATTAAATACATCTGCATTTAAGGGATGCATATGAAAAACGTATCTTTGTTTATATCTAGACTCACACTCAGTGAGGTAAGGTGCTTAAACTTCATATGTGGTATCCGAGACTACCTGTAGAAGATAGATATTTTTTTCTATAAACCCTATTCACTCTGAAATATTCCCCTGTTGAGTGAAATAGTGGCAGAGGCGCTTATAGTATTTAAATTATTCTTTCTTCCTTTTTTGCCAATCGTGTAGTTCAGATCTTGTCACTTAATGGGGTATGTGATGTGATTCCATTGTATACTATTTCTTGTAGGTTTTATAAATACACTTTGCAGTGTGTCTTGCAAGTCCTCCTGTGGAACTGCCTTTCCTCCCTTTTTGATTTTTTGAAGACCTTTATTATCCTTTCCCCTTTTCTGCCATCCTCAATTTCCATCAATGTCATTTCTTGTTATTCTATAGCATGGACGCTTAACTGTAATAATAAAATTTGTAGTTCACTAGGCACTGTGCCAAATGTTTTATAAATATCTACTGTTCCCAGTAATCCCTGAAGGTTAGCGCTGCTATCCATGATGAGGGTGTTAGCCACTTGCCAAGCTTACATAAGTAGTGACATCAGAATACTTTCCTGTAAATTTACCTGGCTCTCTCACCTAAATAAACAGGAATGGCAGAGAACATGTGTCTCTTGCTACACTCGATTCTCACTGCCTAGCTCTACACTTGGCGTAATCACTAAATATATGTAAGGCCTTCTCTAGTGTGCCTCCATGCCCCGCCACAGTTTTCCAGTGCTGTACATACACTCAAACTTTTGCCTAGGCACAGATATAAGTATTTATATTGCTTTATCTTGGTCTCCTCATTAGAATGTAAGCTCAATGAGGACTCATTTGACATTAACCACTGGGATGCTAATGCCTAGAACAGTAACCAGCATGTAGCACAGACTCATTCAGTTAAATAAAATAATGAATAAAGGAATTTGACTCTGCAGACTCAAATGAAATATTTGACCTTGGCCCACATTTTTCTTTAACTCCTCTCTTTTTCATTGTCTACTATTTCTATTTCTTTAATACTAAAAATATCTTATTTAGAATGTACTTTAAATTACTTTATAATTTAAATAACAAAAACGGATGATATCAAGCTCTTCAAGGGCAGGGATTGCCGCTGCTTTTTAGGTTCTGTTTGTTTGGTTCTCAGTGTAAGTATGTTGTTCTGTGAGCAGACACCCCTAATAACTGTTCCTGACTGCAATAAATGAATCTGTCTGTTGGTATCCTAGCAACCACAGTTGAATCTTTTTGTCTTAGTGAAAGATGTTAATGACCCTTACCCTCAGGGCCTTCTCCACTTAAGAAAAAATAATGGTCAGAAACAGACCTATTAAAACTAGAGAGATTTTTGCTATCAAGCAAATTTCTAGAGAAAGGAACCCACTGACTTTTTCTAATAATTTTCACCGCTCCTTAACAAAAGTAGAATTTTGATAAACTAAATTATTCTATGAAAAATTGAATCATTCAAATCATGAAAAACCACTTTTTCAGTGGAGGAAGAGATAAGTAAATGCACATACATTACACATGTGACTCCATAATGGGAAGTCTTTGTATAATACTCTGAAATGAATGTGCAATTAGGCAATTTACTTTCTAAATGAGATTTATAGAGGTTTGTTTGCATTTTCTGCAGCAACAATTTAAAACAAACTTTAGCTCAGTTGTTTGTTTCATCAGTGGAGTTTTGTCTTTGGGGCTAGAAACATTTGAAATAGATTTTTTTAAGGATTTCTATATTTAGTCCTCTAACTTAAAGAATTATGTTGCTGTGTTTTTATATATGTAAATATTTTTCTTTTTGGTTCAAGTTGGTAATATCTCTCAAGAAAGATAAATTTCAACCTATGTTTGTATTTTAATAAAATTTCTAATTATGTCTCCTTCCAGTCCATAAGGACATGTAACAATTGTCATACAATATTTTCTATGGTTTACATGAGTTAAAACAAAATTGGAAAGGAATTGTTAGGTAAATGCTGATAACTTTGTACTGTTGTGCTTTTGAAAAGTTTTGAATCATAGACCATGAAATTAAATGTTAGTTGATTGATACATGTTCATGTTGTATTTAATAAGCTGATTAAAACACAATTACAGCACCTTTGTATCTACAATCTTAATTCTTTACTTCCCAATAGTTTAACTGCTGAAATATTTAGGTAATTTTTCTTCAAAGAAATCACAGTGTGTAGAGAGAAGATAAGGTATACTAAATGGAAAGTTGGACAGCATATTGTTAGTTAAGCAATTTGTAAAATGAACATCAGAAAAAAAATCCCCCATGTGGTATGACTACAAAATGGAAGGAAGATCTAGACCCAGGAGCCACACTGCAAAATAATTTTTCTTTGTGCATTTGCAGAATTTTATTGACTCAAATGAATGATTAGGATTTTTCAGCTTTTTTAAATTAAGAAAACAGATTTTTGCATTAAGTATATATTCTAATTTGAAATGAGTTTATGTATCCTTATTCTTAAAGTTTGTGGGGAAAAAACCCCAAAACATGAGGAAATCACAGTGTAATGTTATTTTAAGGCTTTTCTGTTCAAATATTGTTAAGCACAGTCAGAAGAACACTGTTGGGCAGGGCCCATGTATGAGAGGCAGTGGGGACAGAACTTTGGCTGTCAAAGGTACCTGCTGAATGAAATGAGATGATTGGGAGAGGGAGAGGTTTGAATTTGGCCACAGTTTGGGGAGTACTTTGTCCTGTTTAGTTATTGCGAAATAAAGTGAGTTCTTTGGTTTTGGCTACTGTGATAGATATTTGAGTTTCTGGAGCTAAGATAGTATGAGAAAGAACTGAGAGGTGGCATTCATTGCCTGTTTTGCATCAGGGAAATGTCCAGTGTGTGTTAATTTATGTCATCCATTTTGCAACCCTGAAAAGTGGTAATTAAACCTCACCGACCAGATAAGGGCAGTGAGGCTAAGGCTGGTGTAGTAATTTGTTCAAAGTCAGTCAGTTATACATTGGCAGAGGATGGTGAATTGCAGCTCAGACTTGCCTGATGCTAAGATCCATGTGCTTTCCATTGACCATACTGCCTCTTAATATACTTTATTTCTTTTAAATGATTCTGTTTCTTCTTGCTTTATGAGCATTGGCTCATTTAGCACATTTATCTGAACTTGGGGTTGTTAGTAGGGTTGCCAGATTTACTAGAAAAAAAGAAAGCAGGCTGCTTAGTTAAACTTGAATTTCACATAAACAATGAAATTTTTTTAGTGTATATGTTTACCAAATATCATAGGGGACCTACTTATAGTCAACATTTATTACTTATCTGAACTTCAGATTTAACTGACATCCTGCATTTTATCTGGCAATCTTAATTGTTAA